GGGGGGCCGTGGATCGGCGGCCCCCGCTTGTCCGCCGAGGCCGCTCGCGTCGTCGTGCGGCTGTTGCCAACTCCGGGGCTCAACCTGGGGCTCACACGGAGCCCCAGAGACCCAGCGCTGACCCTGGCCCCTACCCCTGCAGCTCGCCTCGCGCCATGGACTGGCAGCCAGATGAGCAGGGCCTGCAGCAGGTCCTGCAGCTGCTCAAAGACTCGCAGTCTCCCAACACGGCCACACAGCGCATCGTGCAGGACGTATCCTTCCTTCCTTCCGGGGCTGGGGGAACCCCTGAAGGCTAGAGGGGAGGACCCCAAAATCTCTTTACTGTGGTGAGAACCTCCTTGACTTGGAGATGAGGGATAGAATTCCAGGGTCCCATTCCCAGAGCTGTAGGGATTTTTAAGGAAAATCATGAAACCACCTATTGGAGCATTTAGTCCATTAACTGTTAAGGAAGGCAGGTTACTGGCTCCCTTTTACAGATGGGCAAGTCAAAGCTTAGATAAAAACGACTTGGCTAAGGTGGTCCTGGGTGGAGGGGTCACCTCTGTGAAGCATTTGTGTTTTATCAAGACTTCAGTGCTTAGGGACTTGAGGTTGGCATAATGGTTACATGGCTGGACTCTCACGTAGTTGACCACGGTTCAAGACCTGGACCTGGCGGACTAAAACTCACGCCAGGCACGTGTGCGTGCGCGCCCAAGGTCCCAAGAGGAGAATGGTGGAGAAGGGATTGTGGTGTGGCCATCCCCCCAGGGAGATCATTTCTGTCTGTCTCTCGGGCAAGTGCACATGCCCTAATAGCCTAAAATATCTCTTAAAAAAAAGAAAAAGAGAGAGAGACTTCGTGGCTAAAAGTTTGCTTATTATTTGGTGGCTTGGGATATTGTAAGTTAAAATTTTGGAACATTGGAAAAATAGCACATTTTCACCTGAGAATGTGGATTTGCATCCTTTTTTTGAAAAAGCACGTAGGCCAGCTGATGCCGGCTGGATCCCCCGTGGCCGACTGCGCAGTGGGAGTCTTGGACGCCGAGGCTTGGGAAGCCCGGGAGGTGCATGTGCATGCGTGCCCAAGATGCTGAAAGGAAAACAGAGGGGAAGGCATTGCAGCCTGGCCATTCCCCCCTGGAGGGTGCTTTCTCACGTTCCTTCCCTCTCTGGCGAGTGCACACACCCTACTGCAAAAAAGTAGCTGGAGTGGGGTTTGCCCACCCTCTCCCGCTGGGGAGGGGGCCTTCAGGAGGCTCAAGCATCACCGTCTGCCCTGCGTGAAGCTGATGTGCGTGAAATGCTCTGTGCTGTTGTGGGAGTCTGGCTGGCTGCCAGGGCTGGGTGTCCGAGGTGCAGGTCAGGGAGCCCAGCCTGGGGACGGCCCCTGTCTCCCACGTCCCTTAACAGCTCCGCAGAAACTCAAACAACTCAATCAGTTTCCTGATTTCAACAACTACCTGATCTTCGTCCTGACCAGACTCAAGTCCGAAGGTAGATGCCCTCACTGCCCCCGCCAGGGTCGCCAGACCCCGTTTCCTCCCCGCCCCGTGTCCCTTGAACTGCCACCCTCCTCTCCCAGATGAGCCGACCCGCTCTCTCAGCGGCCTCATCCTCAAGAACAACGTGAAGGCGCACTACCAGAGCTTCCCGCCGCCCGTGGCGGACTTCATCAAACAAGAGTGTCTCAACAACATCGGCGACGCCTCCTCGCTCATCCGCGCCACCATAGGTGAGAGGGGACAGGGGGCTTGGGCTCTTGGGACACGTCAAGCTCTCGCTCATGGCCGAGCGGTTTCTCAGCACACTAAGGCAGGGCATTGCTCTCCCAAGCGCTCGGCCCCCGACGGCGGGAGTCTGGTTACTGTCGAGTGCCATTGACAGATGAGGAAACCGAGGCACTGAGGCGTTCAGGGACTCCCTGGGGACAGTCACCAGCTCAGAGGTGACCTAGGCAGCGCAGATCCATATTCAGGAAGCACTCCACGATGAAGTAGCTTTTTTTTTTTTTTTTTTTTTCTCCTTTTTTGACAGAAGGCTTTCCCTAAAGGGAAGGTGGGCTTACAAGTTGGCGTAGTGGTTAAGGCACCGGACTCCCACGTGGCAACCGCGGTTTGAGTCCTGGACCTGGCAGCTTGAAAATCACACTGGGTGTGTGCATGCCTGTACACGCTTGCATGCATGTGTGCCCAAAATCACAGGAAGGGAATGGAGAACTGAATGCAGTGTTACCATAGGCCTTCCCCCCACCACCCCACCACCCCCTCCACCCCACCCCCGTTGCTTTCTCTCTCTCTCACTCTCTCTGTTTTTCTCCAGGCACGCATACATACCCTATGGCAAAACACAACAATAATAAATAAATAGTAAGTGTGATTGGAGTCAGCAGGTGACATGGATGTTAAGGCAGGTGCATTCCCACATGGCCAATCACAGTTCTAGCCCTAGACCCGGCAGCTTGAAAAATGATGCTGGGTGCGTTTGCGTATGTGCCCCAGATCTCTAGAGGATGAGAAGGGATTGCGGCATGGTCATCCCCTGGGGGGTGATTTCTCAGTTAACCTCTCTCTTTGTCTCTCTGGCAAGTGAGCAAGCCCTATGGCAAAACAAAACAAAACAAAAACAAAAACAAACAAAATGAAAAACACCAGCACTGAGATTTGGACCACAGTCTCATGCTACTAGGCCATTGGATCTGCTAAAACAAACAAATAAACAAACAAACAAAAAGCCCTAGCCTGGGGCAGGCAGATGGCGTGGTGATTAAGGGCACTGGACTCCCACATGGCCAACCGCAGTTCAAGTCCTGGCTTTCTTACTTTTCCTCTCTCTCCCTCTCTGTCCCTCTCTGGTCAAATTTAAGAATACAGTTAAATAAAATAATTCCTAAATTATTAACTAGCCTATGATGTTGAAGGAGAGGGTCTTAGGGAGATGAGAATCAGCATTGTTAGGGTGTGGGCCCCATGATGGATTGTGGGTAGGGTTTTTTTTAACTTGTGATAGGATGCACACACTCACTGGAGAGAGAGAGAGAGAAAGAGAGAAAATGCCCTGTCTCCCTTCTCCCTTCTCCTCTCGGAACTTTGGGCTTCTTCCACCTCTCCTGTTGGGATTTTGGACACACATGCACACGGACCCCAGCACATTTCTCAAGCGCCTGGTTCTGGGACTTGAACCCTGCAGCCGGCCCTGTGGGATTCAGCTGCCTTAACTACCACAACACAGGCAGGCCTGTTTTCACCCTTCTTTTTTTTTGGGGGGGGGGGCTTCTCCTCTCGGAACTTTGGGCTTCTTCCACCTCTCCTGTTGGGATTTTGGACACACATGCACACGGACCCCAGCACATTTCTCAAGCGCCTGGTTCTGGGACTTGAACCCTGCAGCCGGCCCTGTGGGATTCAGCTGCCTTAACTACCACAACACAGGCAGGCCTGTTTTCACCCTTCTTTTTTTTTGGGGGGGGGGGCTGGAGGTTTTTGCTATAGGGCTCGTGCACTCACCAGAGAGACAGACAGAAAGTGAGAAAGTGAGAAATCACACACACACACCCGCCTTGGGGGAATGGCCACACCGCAATCCCTTCTCCTCCATTCTCCTCTTGGGCTCTTCTCCTCTTGGGCTCTTGGGCACGCATGCGCACACACACGTGCCCGGCATGAGTTTTAAGCCACAGGGTCGGGACGCAAACTGCGGTCGACTACATGGGAGTCCAGCGACATAACCATTACGCTAACGGCTGGTCCCTCACCCTTCTGTTTTTTTTTTTTTTAAAGAATGATTCTATTTAACTTTATTTACTTATTTTAACTTGACCAGAGAGGAACAGAGTGAGAGAGAAAGAGCAAGAGCGGGAAAGTGAGAAAGCAAGCTGCCAGGTTTGGGACTCCCCCCCACAGCCGGCCACGTGGGAGCCCAGTGCCCTTAAAGGCCATGCCACCTGCTGGCCCCCGTTTCCACCCTTTGAATCCTGTCCCGACCAAATCTCCACCCAAAGCTCAGCATGGTGTGGCCCAGGACCACCTCTGAAGGGGTTTGTAGGGCTTGGGGGACAGCTAGGGACAAGCCAGCAAAGTGCCGGCCTGCCTGCCGCGGGGCGGAGGCCCGGCCAGGCCCCCCCGCCCAGCCTGAGGCAGCGTCCTTTCCCGGCGCCCCAGGCATTCTCATCACCACCATCGCTTCCAAGGGTGAGCTCCAGATGTGGCCCGAGCTGCTGCCCCAGCTGTGCAACCTGCTCAACTCAGAGGATTACAACACCTGTGAGGTAAAGGTGGGAGCTGCGTGCCTCCGCCCCCTCCCCAGGAGCCCCCCCCAGGGCTGGGGTCGCCCACCTCCACGCTCTCGGCGCAGGGAGCCTTCGGAGCCCTCCAGAAGATCTGCGAGGACTCCTCCGAGCTTTTGGACAGCGACGCCCTCAACCGGCCCCTCAACATCATGATCCCCAAGTTCCTGCAGTTCTTCAAACACTGTAGCCCCAAGATCCGGTGGGTGCAGCTCCCCCGGGCTTCCCCGGGAGCAGATGGGCAGGTGGGGGTCAGGGTTCGGTGTGATCCTCGTGCCCACTCCTCGCCAGGTCCCATGCCATCGCCTGTGTTAATCAGTTCATCATGGACCGGGCCCAGGCGCTGATGGACAACATCGACACCTTCATCGAGGTGGGTCGGGGTGAGGCTCTCAGGGAGCAGAGACAAACAGGCTCCAGGGCCCCCCCCCTGTCATCGAGGTGGGTCGGGGTGAGGCTCTCAGGGAGCAGAGACAAACAGGCTCCAGGGCGCCCACCCTGCGCCATTGGCTGGCCCCGCCCCTTCCTCTGG